AAAATTTTGTATCGCCTCCACGTGTCGGGGGCTAAGGGTAATGCCCCGGGGTGTAATCATGTAACCCAAATATTCTATAGTTGTCCTCAAGAATTTACATTTAGAAAAATTCAAAGACAAACCGTAGCTTTTTAATGTCAGCAAAACTTGCTTGAGGACATCTAAATTTTCTTGGACAGAAGACGATGGAATAAATATATCATCTAAATAAACTAAGATTTTATCCTCTTTAATGAAAGACCGTAAAATAAACAAAAGTCGTTTTTGAAATTCGGCTGGAGCCTCGCAAAATCCGAAAGGAAGGCGCAAGTATTCGTACTGCCCGTCTGGAGTGGCAAACGAAAAGAATTTAGTGTAATCTGGATGGACCTTTAGCTGATAAAATCCATCTTTCAAATCTAGTAATGAAAAAACCGATTTATCGCCCAATCTAGACAGGCAATCTTCGATGAGAGGAAATGGAAATTTTCTTTTAACGACCCTTTCATTGAGAGGTCGCAGGTCCACGCAGAGACGTAAGCTACCATTTTTTTTCCTTACAGGGACAATGCGAGAATAGTATGGCGAGTCACTTTCTCTTATTATTTTTCTTTGTAAGAGATCATCTATTATTTCGCGAATCTGTAGTCTTTCTGACCACGCAAAACGCCTCGGGGAGACCGCATAAACAGATTCGTCTTTTAAGTTAATCTTTACAGCATGATCGTCTTCGATCAGCGGAACCTCGGAAATTTCGACTTCCTTAATGACGTCTACTAATTGTGCTTTCGCTGAAACGTCAAAATCGATGACAATATCGCTGGCGAGGTTATCTATTCTGTCAGTGACTTCTATTATGTCAACGGACGCGACTTCCGTGAGCAAGTCAAGCTTATTATCCAGGTTTGCGTTTGCAGGTTTTACGGCGATTTTAGTAGGTTCAAGAGTGATAGACAAATTATTTGATTCTATAAAATCTCGACCAACGATAATGTCTGAGGACGTTATAGATTCGTCCAAGACATGGAGACGAATCAAAGCCGTAAAAGTTGGTAACGCTTCTAACTTAATCGTAGCGTCGACAATGTTTCGAATTTTTATAGGGGACCCATTAATGGCTCTAAGCGACGGAACAGTTGAAACCGTAAAATGAGCTCGCGGAAAAAATTTTTCGAACGCGTTTACATTTATAAACGAAGTTGGGCTTCCTGTATCGAGGAGAGCCCTAAGGTTGCAAGAGTAATTGTTCAACTCTTTTACCTTTACGACGGCTGTGTCGGTGATCAATCGGTTTCGCGGGGCTTCCACGAAAGCGATGGTGTTGGCGCCATGCGGGGCGACTGCTTCCTGGGTTGGAGTCTCGATGACTGCGGCGATGAGAGGCGGTGGCTTCGACGCGGCAGGTTTGGGGGAAGCATCCTTCTTCTTGAGTTTATAACAGGAGTCTTTTGTGTGGCCTTTACTGCGGCAATACACGCAGAAGAGCTCACTGGAAGTTTTTTCTTGATGATCAGGCTTAGCTGCAGCTTCATCCTTGGATCTGCGGTTGTCGTCTTTACGGCTGAATACCGGAGATTTCCTTGACGCTGAAGTCGTCATCGTAATGTGATGCATCTGTTGCAGGAAGTCGTCAATCGAATCTGCTTTGATTGACGCTGCACAAGTTCTGATGGCCAGGCTGCCAATGCCATCTATGAGACAGTGGATGACCTTTTCATCATCCAGCTTGAGACATTGCAAAATGGCTATTTTATCCATTGCATAGTCCTGGAATGATTCTTTCGAGAAGATCCATCTTCGTTCATCCGCCTTTCTGATAACAGCGGTATATAAGATTTGTCTCTTGAAACGACGAATCACTGCTGACCTGAAGTCGGACCACGACTCATTGATTGAGCCTGTGGTTAAATCAAACCATCTGCGGGCCGCTTTCGTGAGTTTGAGCGACGCAGCTGACAGCATCGCCCCAGGGGGAAGACCGTGTATAAGTGCAATTTTCTCGATCTTCTCGATCCAGAGTTCGACGTCCTCATCCTCCGTCCCACCAAATTGTGGGATTTGTGAGACCAAAAATCTTGAGGCATTCATGGATGCCATTGAAGGGGTCTCCGCTGATTGCGGGGCTTGAAGCGTGGTGCTCGCTGGAAGGGGATTAGACCCGACAACATTCTGGACAAGCGAAGAGATTGGTTGACCGGCAGGACCTTGGTTTTCTGTAGAGTTCCTGTTGACGGCTGCCATGATTTTATTCAACATTTCTTGCTGCTGGCTTACTTGAGCTTGTTGGGCTGCTTGAGCCTGTTGAAGTTTCACCATTTCTTGAGCCATGAGTTGGCGAAGTTGTGTGAAAGCGGCATCAGGTGCTGATCCTTGAAGTTGCCTATTGCCTGGTTGAATGAGCGAAGCAACGCCGCTGTCCCTATAGATCTGGGACGCGGAATAACCTAGAGAAGACGATGTCTCTCCATGTGTGTTATCCTCTGTGAAGTCGAGCAGAGGTCCATTCTTTTGTAAGTGCGACGTGATCTGCGCGATGCACTCGTCACGCGCCTCTGGGGGATCCAGTCCGAAATTCTGGATCTCTTGCTGTAATTCCTCAAGCGACATGGCGTCGTACCTCTGACGCAATTCGATCATCTTGACGCGCTCTGTCATTGAGAGAACGCGCGTGAAGTTTGGGGTATGCTCGAGCGGCATCTCCTACGAAAGTATGTCTTGTCACGAGGAAAGCGGTGGAATGCGCACTAGATATGCGCGACACACCCGCACACGAATGTCAAACGAACGGTGCGATGCGCACTGAATTTGCGCGACGCGTATGAACTCGAGTGTCGTATAGAATGGCGCGATGCGCACTAGATATGCGCGACACGCACACACACAAACGACGAAAGGAACGGCGCGATGCGCACTGGACTTGCGCGACACGCGCGTACACGAATGTCAAGAAAAACGGCGCGATGCGCACTGAATATGCGCGACGCACGCACACACGAATGTCCCGTCGTGCAGAAAACGGCGCGATGCGCACTGAATATGCGCGACACGCTCATACACGAACGTTAACGGAACGGCGTGATGCGCACTGAATCTGCTCGACACGCTCGATTACGAGTGATGTATAGAATGGCGCGATGCGCACTGAATATGCGCGACACGCACACACACAAACGACGAAAGGAACGGCGCGATGCGCACTGGACTTGCGCGACACGGACGTACACGAATGTCAAGAAAAACGGCGCGATGCGCACTGAATATGCGCGACGCACGCACACCCGAATGTCCCGTCGTGCAGAAGACGGCGCGATGCACACCGGATCTGCGCGACGTGCCCGCACGACGAAGCAGAATGAGAGCCCCGATGCGGATGACCACCTCGAAACCAGTGTTGCCGACTTGGAATCTTTGCACGCCAGTCGAGCGCGTGGAGGGAGTAGAGTGGGGGTAGCGCTCGGCGCTCGGCTTACGTCGGACGCGAAGAAGAGCGCGG